CATCGTGCGAAGATTATGGCAGCAAGTGAGCAGGCAGGCAGGTACACAAGCAGTGGCTAAGAGTTTATATTCTGATCTGCAGGCAGCAGGCAGAGAGAGAGAGAGAGAGAGAGAGAGAGAGAGACAGAGAGAGACAGAGAGAGAAAGAGAGAAAGACATACACAGAGAGAGACAAACAGACAAAGAGAGAGATAGAGAAAGACACATACACACACACAAACTGATCACGGAGCTCTTTCCTTTCTTCCATCAATTCATCTAGAGATGCTGGAAACAGCTTGCCAGCATAATTATTTCCCTTATTTTCTTACAAATTGTCAAAAGTTTCATGTATCACATCACTAAATTCTATGTTCCTTACAATAAGTGATTCAGGATAGCCAAACGCATTTATCTTGCTATGTTCTTTGAATAGCCCACAATACAGATTGTTAGTGCTCTCCAGGATTCTAGGAGAGGCTTCAGGAGCTTTAGGTATTGGTAAATTGGAAATGATACTCCAGATACTTAAGACATCCATCATTATAATTCTCTTCCTCCAAAATAATTCCTAGTACCAAAATCTGTATTAGTCGGGCTTTGCTAGAGAAAAAGAACAGTTATAATGAGTACACACCACACCCACATCTATATACAGAAACTGTCTGAATGTCTGTCTGCTCATCTATTTATCTATCCATCCATCTATCTACATATCTCATCTATCTGTCTGTCTGTCTATCTGCCTATTTATCTATAGACATCAATGCATATCTATCTATCTTATCTATCTATCTATCTATCTATCTATCTATCTATCTATCTATCTATCTATCCATCTATCATCTATCATCTATATATATCAATCATCTCTTTCCCTTCCTTCCTTCCTCCCTCCCTCCCTCCCTCCCTCCCTCCCTCCCTCCCTCCCTCCCTCCTTTCTTTCTTTCTTTCTTTCTTTCTTTCTTTCTTTCTTTCTTTCTTTCTTTCTGTGCTGCATTAGAGTACCTTAAAAATTGTGTTTCAGCTAGTCCAAAAATGATTTTCTCCCAACAGAAAGACCAAAAGTCTAGTAGTCGTTCAGTCAGGCCTTGAGGCCCATAGCTCATCTGGTCTTCAGTCTCCATTGGATTCCCGAGGGATCAGGTTCTAATACAGTTGAAGGAATGCCACAGCAGTAGGATAGACGAACTTGCCAGGGAGAGTGAGGGCGAGCAGGCAACAATCAGAAAGTAAGACATTTTCTTTCTTCTTTTATGTCCTTTTAGGTGGGCTGCCACCAGGATGTGTGACCCAGATTTTGAGTGAGTCTGCTCACTCAGAAGATCCGGATGTAGGCTGGGCTTTCCCATGCCGAATGATCCAATCAGGAAAACCCTCCCCAAGTATGTCTAATTTCCTGAATTTTAGTTGGTTACAGATGTAGCCATGCTGACAACCAAGACTAGTAATCACACTGTGTGTGTGTGTGTGTGTGTGTGAGAGAGAGAGAGAGACAGAGACAGAGACAGAGACAGAGACAGACAGACTATGTGAGTTCTAGGGACTAAGCTCAAATTGTCATGCATAACGGCGATCACCTGCTGAGAAATCTCATCAGCCATATCCAGTTGTTAATGTCTTTAAAACACCATTTAATAAAAATTTCCAATATTCTTTATAAGGAATTTTGTGGATGTTTCCGCTTAGAGACAGTCCCAAGTACTCACGTTTGAGTTCTGTTTATGTGCTGCACTGACGTGGGATTCCCCTCTTTATGCTGTGATATCATTGGTTAATAAGGGCACTGCTTTGGGCCTTTAGCAGAGCCATAGGGGAACAGAGGTATATGGAAAACACTAAACTGAACTCTGGAAGAAAGGAGCAGAGAGAAGCCATGTAGCCCCATTGGAGACAGAAGCCAGAACTTTACCTGGTAAGCCACAGCCACGTAGAGATACACAGATTACTAGAAATGGGCTAAATTAAGATGTAAGAGTTAGCCAATAAAAAGCTAGAGCTAGGGGGCTGGAGAGATAGCTCAGAGGTTAAGAGCACTGACTGCTCTTCCAGAGGTCCTGAGTTCAGTTCCCAGCAACCACATGATGGCTTACAACCATCTGTAATGAGATCTGGCGCCCTCTTCTTGTGTGTGGGAAACAGAATGTTGTACACATAATAAATAAATTAAAAAAAAAGCTAGAGCTAATGGACCAAGCAGTGATTTAAATAATATCGTCTGTGTGATTATTTTGGGTCTGAGCTGCTGAGCAGCCGGGGAATGAAACCAGCATCTTCCTTCCAACTTACACCGCCTTTACTGATTTGCATAAAGTAAACCATGTTACATCCTGGAATGAAACCAACTTGGTCATGGTATGTGATTTTCATGTTTTCTAAAGATTCAATGTGTTTATAATCTACTGGAAAATATTGTGTCTATGTTCATCAGGGAAATTGGTCTAAAATTATCCTCCCCCTCCCCCCTTTTTTCTGTGTCTTTATCCAGTTTGGGACTAGGGGAATGCTGTCTTTGAAGAATGATTTGGGTAGTATTGCGTCTCATGATTTCATGGATACTTGAGAACTATCAGTGTTGGTCCTTCTTTAGAAACCTAATAGAATCGGGCAGTGAAACAATTGGTTCTGGGTTTTTGTTTTGTGTTGTTTTAATCAGACTTTCTATTTCTGCTTCAACCTCATTGCTTGTTCCAAGTTTGGTTAAAGCTGTGTACAGCCTGCCCTCCTCTCAACCTCCTGGATTTCTTTAGAATCCACTATAAGGTCATCCTTTTCATCGTTAATTTTATTAATTTAGATCTTACCTTGCTTTCCTTTGGCTGGGGTTCTTCAGTCTTGCTTTCTTTCTCCTTCAAAGACTCAACTCCCTGGTTAATTCTTCTAATTGTTCTTTCAGTCTCTATTTCAGTGGTTTCTGCCATGATCTTCGTACATCTTACCATCTACTGCTATGAGGTTTGGCTTCTTGCTTCTTAAGACTTTGAGGTGCAACATTAGGTTCTTTATTTGCAGTTACTCTATAACGTAATCATAGAGCAGGGTTCTTTTCTCTTAAAATTGCTTTAGTGGTTTCCCCAAGGACATGATATATTGTGTTATTGTTGTCACTTGATTCTAGTCATTTAAATTGGTTTTTCTGATTTTTTTCATCGATTTATCAGTCTTTCAAGAATGTACTGTTTAGTCTTTGAGTCTGTGTGTAGTTTCTGTGGTTTCTCTCGCCATTGATTTCTGGTTTTATTCCAGTATGATTTGGAAGGATGCATGTCAGGAGCCATTTCCCCCCTAAAATTACAGGAACCATCACCCTAGGGAGTCTGCAGGGAACCTCACACCCATAATTATGTTCTATTGAGAAAACCTGCCCCACACCCAATTAAGCTGTTGATAGAGAGCTATCTGTTAGAGGAACCCGCCTCACATTCCAGCTATCCAGGGAACTAGGTGTGGCAACTTGTGACTCTTGGCCTACCTGACCCAGCTACGTGACCGGAACCACACGGCGAGATTCCATGCCCTGCCCCCCATTCCTTACCATATATAAACTGTAACCCGTCCCTAATAAACAGAGGCTTTGACAAATCTGCTTGGCCTCCTTCTTCTGTCTTAGCTCATTCCCTTCCAGGTAGCGCCCCTCCGTGACCCTGGAATAACTGATTGCAGGGTGGGTTACAAACCCCTAGACTGTGTAACCCACCCCAACGCAATCGACAGATGCAGGAGCTTGTTTCAGTTCTTTAGCATTTAAGGCTTGCTTTGGGGCCTAGAATGGTGTGCTTTAAATCAGGTTCTATAAACTCCTAAGAACAGCATCCTAAATGCATTGTAATTGTATCAATCTCTGATTTTCTATTTTTGATGATTTTTTTAAAATTGGGAACATTTATAATTGTTTTATCTTATTGAATTTTATTGAAATATTTTTTCTTAATTTAATGCTATGGTTTTCTTCATATCATCTGACTAATTATGGTTTTAAGTTTACCTTATAAGATATGAAATTATCTCTATGTGATAGTTTTTAGCTTTAATTTTTTGAATAAAATAATTTCTATCATTTGATGTTCTGTCTGTGGGTGTCTTTGCCAGTGAAGTGGCTGGCTTGGCGAAAACAGGGAGCTGAATCCTGTGTTTTACATCCTGCCAGCGATCTGCATCTTCCTACCAGTGTGCTGAAGCCATACACTGAAGTCATTATTGAGAACCCTTTTCCAGTTCTCAGAGTTTTCTTTGTGTTATCCAGACTCTTGCTTCCTCTTTTCTTCTTTTCTGCCGTTAGTATCGCAGGCTTCCCTCGGTCGACACTATGGATTCCGTTATTACTCTGCTTTCCTCAGATTCTTTCCAGGAGCTTCATTCATTTCTGTGCTCTCCTGATTGAGACTTTCTTCTTTCTTCATTTCTGTGCTCTCCTGATTGAGACTTTCCTCTTTCGCTAGGAGCGTTGCTCCTGCAAGCATCCACAGTGGTGTGTGAGATGACGGTGAAAAGCCCTTGTTTGTGCTTGTCTTCAAATGGTGCCTTTTCCTCTATCAACTTTTAAAGGGCGCTTTCCTGCATATAGCCAGCCATCTTGATTCACTTTCAAGACATAAACACATTGTTCCATACTTTCCTTGCTTTTGTGACAGTTGAGGGGAAAGCTGCTGTAATTTTGGTGTGTTTTTCTCTACAGATGACTTGAGGTTTTCTCCTACAACTTTTAATATTGTTTGCCTCTTCGCTTTGTATTTTTGATGCTTTGAGTATGGGATAGACTATTCTTGGTTACACCTATCTGGTGTTTTAAATATCTCTTACATTTGGATGTCCATTTATTTTCTATATTTTTTAATTTCTTGCTGCTGTTATTTCATGGAATATACTGCCTATGCCCTCAGTTTAAATCTCATTTTATTCTTCTAACTTGTTCTTAGATTCTCATCTTGTGATAATCTCCAAGGGGAGATCCTTTTTATCTTTTCATTTTTTTTCTTTACAGATGTTTTAATGTTTTTCCCCAAACTTGTCCTCCATTCTTTTTTTTTTTTTAAGAAAAAACCTTTATAGTCCAGGTCTTTTATTTCTTTTTTTACATCAGGCCATGAATTCATAGGGAATGGGCTCCAGCAGCTCAGGCTCCTTCCCGTTAGTCCTCACAAAGTGTGCTTCTCTGGGTGGAGCAGGCTGGCGCTTCAGCTGAACCCAGGTGCCCTTCTCTTTGGCTTTCTTTTTCTTCTGGTCGTTCTCCTTCACCCGCTTCAGGAAGCTGTCTCTGCTCTTGGAGTGCTTGATGTGTTCAATCCGCACATTAATTCTCTTGGCAAGAATCTTGCCCTTAACTTGCTTGTTTACAATGATGCCCACAGCATGCTGGGTGACATTGTAGACTCTTCCGGTTTTGCCATGGTAACATTTATGGGGCATTTCTTTTTGAACAGTGCCCATTCCCTTGATGTCTACAATATCGCCCTTCTTGTAGATTCGCATGTACGTGGCCAAAGGAACAACTCCATGTTTCCTAAAGGGCCTAGAGAACATATAGTGAGTGCCCCTCCTCTTTCCCTTTGTGTTTGTCATTTTGGCGAGTTACTGAAAGATGGCTACCGCGCCTTGTCCTCCATTCTTGATGGTATTTCTTTCTGCCTAGTGGAGTCTATGGACAATGTCTTCCACTGAGCTTGCTTTATTCATTCGTTATTCATGTCCCAATGAATTTATATCTTGTCTTCAGGTCATGGATTCTTTTCTACATTTCATCCACTTCCTTTCCTGCTTCCTCTTCTTGCTATTGTTAGTAAATTTTTTTGGCATCCTTGTTTGGCATTTTATCCACTTTGACTTCAGTAGTGGGAGAATCGTGCTATGTTCTTCTTCCATGCTCTCGGTTACAAGTTATGCTTATTGACTTGGACTGCTTGACACCTTCCTTGTGAGGAGTCTATTCTCAAGGCTGAGTGCTTAGTTACTCAGAAAGGTGAACGCCGCATTGACTGAGACAGGAAACCATCCCGCATACGTAAATACCCTCACAAAATAACCAAACTGCACTAATATATCACCGACTAACATAAGGAAGAAAACAGCAAAATTAATGCTGAGTCTCCTGTAACATTACATTTATTCAGGTTAAATGTGGAACTAGTGAACTGATGAGATGAAGGAAGTCAGGAAGAAGGGAAAAGCCTGTAAGAATCTAATTAAACAAGAGCGAAATCGGGGAGCAGGAGTAGAGAGAGAGGGAGGGCATGGGAGGGGAAGAAAAAAGAAGAGACTAAAAAATGAAATAACCAAAGATAAAACAAAATAATTTGTCAAAAATGATAAAAAAAATCCATAACCAAATTTAGATAAATGTGAGAAAATGAATAAGAAAAAGGAACATGACAGTTTAAAAAGCAACCACATAAAATCAAAACAGCACTAAAAGCCCATCAGTGTAGTGGCATTTCAAATGTATTTTAGTAGGTGAGGACTGCATGAAGATCTGATAGTGAAACAGCCCCACTGGTCGGCCTTACAGACCAGATTATGGTAACATGCACCCTTAATCCCAGTAGCCACAAAGACATGCACCTTTAATCTCAGTAGCCACCCTAGTTGCCATAGAAATCGGGTGGGGGCACGCCTTTGATCCCAGCCCTAGAGAGGAATATAAAACGGGGTGAGCCAACTCTCAGACAGTCTCATGCTGAGATCCCTGGAGGCAGGATCATCATTTTCAGAAGGAAGTAGAGGTAAGAGCCGGTGGCTGGCTGTTTTGCTTTCCGGATCTTCAGGTTGAACCCCAATTTCTCTCTCTGGGTTTTTATTAATCGTGCACCACATTAGAAAGAGTAAAGGGGAGAAAGCAGGATTTCAAAAAATAAAAGTAGAGATTGCCTAACAATGAAAGATGCATTAATATTAGGTAAATATATGACAGAAGGTAAGAGAAAAATCCTTAAGCCTTCAAAAACACAGTAATTTAAATTTTTATGTAGTTACACCAAGTGGGGAGTAGGTACGAAGAGCAAAGCAAAGATAAAAGCCTTGTGGTGGCTTCTGTGGGCGCCCTCCAAGAGGGCGGTCAGCACACACAGGCCAGGTCTGCGAGAATATCCAGAGAATAAGCTGGGAAAAGCTGAAGAAGAGCTAGAAGGAGGGGAGGAAGATAACCAAAAATCTCTAGTTTAATAATAAGCTAACATGGGAAATTTTTAAGAGCACATCAGGAAAAGTACAGAGTCTGTGCAGCGTGGGAGGATTGGCGTTCTCTCTTCCAGTGAGAAGGAACGATGGGCACCCTAAGACAGAGTCTTAAAGAACTGGCACCGTGTTCTCAGTAGCAGACATTTCAAAGAGAGAAGGGTTGTGGGTGGGAGAAAAGTTTCACGCAGGTGGCTCGAGAACTTGCTCAGTGGTCAGGAGTATGCATTGCTCTTCCAGAAGACCTGGGTTTGATTATTTGCACTGACATCAGGTAGCTCACAACCCCCTGTAACTTCAGTTCCAGGGATCCTACGCCTCTAGCCTCAGCGGGCGCCTGCACTCGTGTGCACATAGGCACACACAGACATGTAATTAAAGATAATTTTCATTTCAAAAATTACATGCAGTTACAACAGGAGAAGAAATGCCATGAGAAACCCCTCTTCTCAGCAGTGGTAAACCTCAAAGACTCACAAGAAGCCAGCAGATGTGTAGCCCAGACATTGGTGAAACTCAGGAAAGGCAGAGTGAGTTTCACGGGACCAAATGCAGAAACCTCATCAGCAGAATTCCACGAGACTGTAAGGAAGGAACTTTGCTTTTGAGTACTGCAGTAGCCAGTGAGGTGGGGACATTTCAACACTGGGATAGACAGTCCATCAACAGGGCCAACATTCATACCCTGATCCGTAAAGGACATCGCAGAGGTGGAACCTATAATCTGCGGCCTGATTTGAGAAGGAATACCCACAGATAGGACTAGCATCTGTGACTTTATCTTGCAAAAGACAGCTAAGAGAGGGACAAGCTCCGTAAAAGAATACCCCAAGAATTGAAGTGAAGAAACTGATACTAAATTCAGTCTCTATAATTTAAACCCAACTCTATAACCAACCTAGTCCCTCTTGAACATTGCAACCATTTCCTGTGAGAGAATACGGGAATTAAAACATTTCAACCAATAAGCTACTCCCACATATACAAGTCCCAGTGCAGAAACTTAAGAAATGACAAGCGAAGGCAGCAGGACTCCTTCAAAAATTGCTACGCCCACAGTAATGGTGCCGACGAGATTGGGTTACACTAAAACCCAGGCAAGGATTTAAAAAGAATTATTGAAAGTATGTTCAAAGAAATCAAAGAGCACACAAATAAACTCTCAAATGGATTCCTGGAGGATACAGACACCGAATGAGATGGGAAGCCAATATGAAAATATAATTCAACACAGATACAGAAATTCTGAGAAATAATAAAACTGAAATATTAGAAATGAAAAAGGAACTATCAGTAAGTCACACAAAACACTCCACAACATGCCTTGCCAATAAACTGGATCAAGAGAGGACAGAATAACAGGCCTTGAAGTCAAGGTAGAGGAATCAGAAAATTCAAATAATGACTCAGATAAATCAATGTGATGCTGCAGAAACTCATAATAATAATAATAAAATATTATAAAACCAAAAAGATTACAGAAATTAATTTATAACTTTCAATAATAACTCTGATTTATTTCTTTTTTCCTTGTTTCTTTTCTTTCTTTCTCTTTTTCTTCCCTCCCTCCCTCCTTCCCTTCCTCCTTCATTTTTTCCTTTCTTCCTTTTTTCCTTCCTTTTTTCCTTCCTTTTTTCCTTCCTTTCTTCCTTTCTTTCTTTCTTTCTTTCTTTCTTTCTTTCTTTCTTTCTTTCTTTCTCTTTCTTTTAAGGCAAGGTTTCTCTCTGTAGCCATCGCTGTCCTGGAACTTACTTTGTAGATTAGTCTAGCTACAAACTCAGAGATCTTTTACCTCTGTCCCACAAGTGCTAGGATTAAAGGAGGGCATCACCATGCTCAACAAAAAATCTGAGTATGAATGCTCTAAATTTCCCTTTCAAAAGACACCAACAAGAAGATCGAATGAAAAGGCAGATTCCTCTGTTTGTTTCTACTAAGATAAACTTACAGCCTGTGTCACACTACATGGGGGAAAAATTCGATGTTTCCAGTAATATAAGAATAAGACAAGAACGTCAACATTTTCCAATCTGATGTAATATAGTTTTAAAATCTTAGCTAGAACAATAGGCCCAGAGAAAGAAATAAAAGGTACAGAAGAGCCAAAATATTTGTGTGTGTGTGTGTGTTTGTGTAACATAATTCTATGCGCAAGAGACTTTGATGACCCCATGTCACCTAGTCAGAAGACCTTCAGATCTGATAAACAATTTCAGGGAAGCGGCAGGACTTGACACACAAAAATCAGTAGCTTTCTATAGCTTTCTATATATTAATTATAAATATGTGAAAGAAATCAGGGAAACAATTTCATTCATAGCTGTCTAAAAAATATCCAGGAATAAACTAAACTAAAAAGGTAAAAGAAACTTAAATTGAAAACATTGAGAAAACAGTGAAGAAAGAAGGCAAGGAAGACCCTAGAGGATGGAAAGACCTCTCATGCTCACGGGCTAGAAAAATGTATAATGTAAAAGTAGATACATGACAAAAGTTAGCTACAGACTTCATGCAATCTCCAATTAAAATTAGAATGCTCTTCTTCACAGAAAAAGAATACAGTCTTAAAATTCATCTGGAAGCACAAAAGGCCCCAGACAGCCAAAGCAATTCTGAGCCAAAAACCAATAATGCTGAAGGTAATACCACATCTGATTTCAAGAGCCATTGTAATAATAATTCAAAAAATCACGGTAAGGCTCAAAGTAGACACATAGGTCATCAGAATAGACTAAAAGTCCCAGGTATAAAGTCATGCGACTGTAGCTACCTGATTTTGCCAAGAGGCTAAAGGTATACACAATGCAGAAAAACATCTCTTCAGCTCAGTGCTGGAAACTGGATCTCATATGTAGAAAAACAGAACTAGGTCCCTATCTCTAATTCTGCACAAAAAATCAAGTACAAATGCTCAAAAGACCCGAATGTGAGACTCTGAATTCATTAGAGAAAAGACATTTCAAAATACAGGTATAAGCAAAGCCTTTTCTGAATAGGACCCTAGCACTCAAAGGATAATGCTGACAACCGGTGACTCGGATCATGTGAAATTAAAAGCTTCTATACAGGAAAGAAAACAGTTCCTTGGGTGAAGAGACAGCCTACTTTAAGGGTTCTGTATCCGACAGAAAGGATTAGCATGTAGAATACAGCAAGAACTAAAATAGTCGAAACAGAAATTCCAACAACCCAGTAAATAAATGGTCTAATGAAATGAGCAGAGGGTTCGCAATAGAAGAGACATATTTGACCAATAAACACACAAAACTGATCCACCTTGACTAGCTGCCACAGAAATGCAGATTAGAACTGTTTTGAATTTCTATCACATCTCACTCAGAATAGCGGTCATCAAGGAAAAAAAATAATAAATGCTGCTGGCAATGTGGCCAAGCGGCAACTGTCATTTAAGGCTAA